TCTACTTCATCTGTTAGTCACTGTATGATTTAGCAATTCAAGTGAGACATTTTTTTTAAAGTTGGAAAAATGTTATACAAATTTTAAGAACATTTTGTTTGTAATCCAACCTGAATCCATCACTCGACTTGAGAATACCAAAGAAAAAAGAACTATAAACTATATGAAACATCAAATAATCCTGCATGAAACACTTTTAAAATAGGAGCTTTTTTACAATCCCTACAAAATAAATGTGAAACAGTGCCCGGCGGCCAGCGTCCGGCAGCCAGCGTCTGGCGGGCGCAGCAGCCTCGACACAAGATCGGCCTGTCAGCAGCAGCCGTCTCGCCGCTATATTTATATTTTTTCGCCATTATCAGCTTTCTTCATAGAGCCTGTTAGCATAGCTTCCAAGCAATATGGCGGACGTTAAGTTTCGATTCTGGGAGCGAGTTCCCACCCACTGATCTGTGATTGGTCTGCAGCTTCAGTGGTTGAAAATATGAGGAACTAGCGTTGTAGTTTAACCCCGCTAACCGCAACAGCTTCCAGTGACGCAAAAATCGTCATTTTGCGTCACTGGAAGCTCCTTCTCAGACTTAGAAATACAAAGATTTCCCATCTCAGGGGAAAATGAGGGCGGGATGCACAACCATTCAAAAATACTACCAGGTTTCTAATGATACAAAGCTTAATGCAAATGGGTGAAGTATACCTTTAAACTTATATCACTAGTTTATTTTAATGTATCTCTCCAGGCTGCCCATTCTCTCAGTGGTTAGGTGTTTTGTTTTTTTACTTAATGTTTGTTGTAAAACGTGCTCTTAGCAGCTCTAAACATTGGTGAGGAGCATTGTAAGCAGAAAGCTGAAGGTAAACAAGTTCAACCTGAAACTATTGGAATCATTAGACACCTGACAGAACACAATAAAAGAAACATTGGACACACCTGTCCTTTAAAAACAAAGCGCAGCAGTAAAAACACTCCTAGCTCTTGTGTGATCAAAGTTTCCCCATAATTACATTTCTAATGATCAGCCTCACATCTCCATTGTTACAGAACAACAATCCTCCTAATGTTGGAATGAAGAAAGTTCATTCACTGACATCTGTCATAAACAGATGAAACCTTCACTCTGAAACCAGCAGTTGCAATAAAGAAAATGATGAAAATAAAAGTTAAGTCGTGGCTTCACAATACTAAGACCAAAACACAAAGATATGCATGCATGCATACAAGCTATGCATGGAGCCCACATTAGCACACATATTCAAGTGCATAGGAGTACACTTTTCTTAGTGCACACCTAAAATATAAATCCATGAATGCACTCTGAATTTTAGATTTCTGACAGAAATTGGAATTTCCTCATAGTTGCTTTTATTAAATATTTCATGTTGTAGATAATTTAATGCACTTCGTTCTATTTTTATAATAACTTCATTTCTACTTCATCTGTTAGTCACTGTATGATTTAACAATTCAAGTGAGACATTTTTTTACAAGTTGGAAAAATGTTATACAAATTTTAAGAACATTTTGTTTGTAATCCAACCTGAATCCATCACTCGACTTGAGAATACCAAAGAAAAAAAGAACTATAAACTATATGAAACATCAAATAATCCTGCATGAAACACTTTTAAAATAGCAGATTTTTTACAATCCCCACAAAAATAAATGTGAAACCAACTAAAGAGATTAAAAAGTACATGCATGTTCAGAGTGTCATCACTTCTTATTGACTAAACCTGTGTTTGTTAGCCAACAGTAGTTGTAAACCAGCTTATTAAAGGCTTAATATGCAATTTTTCACACTTAAATGCAATAGAAATCAAGGATATCCTCTGAAAATAACTCTGTGAGTCATGACTGTCTACAATGGGTGTAACACCGGAGTCCCACTGTCTGTGATGCTTTCCGAGTTTTCCAAGTCCTATCTTCAGTTTTTTTTACATCGCCGGGACGGCCGGCCAGCTCATCCCCTCGTGTATAAAAGTTGTTTAATTGAGGGACTAGAGAAAAGAGAATAACATTCTGTACTCACTGCTTAATTGAATGTCACGTAAGCGTTTCTAGATCACGGTCATTTCAGGTAAATTTACATGCAGTGTGAAGATACGAGCATGATAAAGATTGCTAGCATTAGCATGCTAACACAACAATGCAGCACAAGTTGTTTTGGTTTCATGCTGGTGATCAAGGGCGACATCTTCTGGATCAAAAAATTGCATATGAAGCCTTTAAGGAGCAACAAGAGGTAGTGTGAAAAATGTTGCATGTGTTACTGCTCTGTAGATAGATTTACACCTATACTCTATGTGAGAACTGCAAATAAATCAAATGGCCACAAGATGGCAGTGTTGCTCAACTCTCCATGGTTTGGTGTGCTCTCACCATTTGATGAAATGAATGCTCTGCTGGAGAAAGTTTAAACAGGTACTGATCTTTTTTTTGTACACTGAAAGGAAACATAAGAAACCCTCAGACTGTAAAATATTATTTTATTCTATGATGACGAAAAGGTCCAGCATGTAAAGGAGGTGAACATCTGCAGTAGTTTTATATTTAGTGGATGTTTTTTGGTATGAATTTGTCTTCTATCCAAAAATAAAAGATGAGACTATAATATATGACCTCCAGTAACATCCAGAATGAGCACATTACAGATGTGTTCTATCAATGTGACATCTCCTACTTTTCTTGTGAGATTACTTCTGATTGCAGACATAGAAAGTTGTTTGAAGATAATATCTATGTTAACATATCTCACTTTGTTATCTTACTTCCATAAAGAGTTGGTTTTCTTAATTTCATCACAAAGATATGACTTTATTCCCAGGTCAGGTATCTTTATAGGGCTTATAAATATCATTTTTATCATCTAATTTCTGCCGAGGCTTAAGTTTTGTTTTAAACTGAAAGAAGGATGTCAAAGTCAAACTGATTCTCTGTGCAGCAACACAGATCAAACTTAAATGACAAATGTCACCTCATGTTAGTATAACTATTGATTTGATGAAGTCAATGATGTACTAAAACTGTAATATCTGGTACTTTTTTATGTTACTCATTTTGCCATATTCACAAAATCACAAATCAGTAGTAAAAAAAAAACACAAATCAACATAAAGCAAATGAACCTAACGTAAGGACAAAGGAACATAAACTCTGAGTTCACATGTTTGTACACAGGATCTGATGCTGTTTCAAAAGTTGATCCTCTTTGTAGATGTTGTGAATGATTTTAGCTGATGACAAATAGGAAATATTACAGATCTTGATAAATATTGTCAATCCAATCAGAATAATTTCAATTAAGTTTTTAAAATTGTTTTTTAAACTATCATTAATACATGTGTTGTATTGGAAATAATGCGTAATATATCAACAAAATAAGAATGAAGTAAGGTGAAAAGTCCATTTTACACTCACATCAAGGTTTCCGTTGTTCTCTTTAGCAGGTCAGTGTAACACATTGGATCTAGATTTAGCCATCTATTTTTTTCTGTGCATGAGGAGTTACCAATGTGAACCTCCATAAATGATGCTACATTTTTTTCATTTTATTTGTTTTTTATTCATTAATTACCCTATTTTTTTTCTCATAACATTCCATAATCTCAACTGAACTCTGCTTAAGTCAGATAGAAAGCATGTGATCCAAACTCCACACACTGTTTCTGTTGATGCAAATGAGCAAATGATGTAAGTTGATGATTACTGTGTCCGACAAATAAACTTAACATGATGTGTTTAAATAGGCAATGTCGACATTAACTCAACCTGTGAAGCATGTGAGGGCAGTAAACATACATCTAAAGAACAGATTAAATGAATTTGATTGAATGAATGAATGTTAATGACTTTGCCAATTACACACACAACTCCCATTAAACTATTTTATCTATCGTTGAAAGTCTTGACACTGGCTGCCTCTTTGTCTTCATATTGATTTTATTATTGTCTAAAGCACTTGGCCTCCCACCAGATTAACTTTTCAGAGTTGATTTTAGTTTATGAACCAGGACGACCCCTCAGGTCTTCTTGTTCTTCTCTGGTTCTTCTTTTAGTTGTTCCACAGAGCAGAACAAAAACCTTTTGTGATTCTGCGTTTTGCTGCTCTGAGACTTTGGAACAGACTTCAGAGGATCAGAGAATATTGAGATTTTTAAAAACAATTTAAAAAACTCATTTATTCAGTCTGGCTTTTCTATATGACTTAATCATTTTAAGGCTTTTAATTTACAATATTTTAATCAATATTATTCATCTCTACTTTTAAATTTACATTTTAGTGTTTGATTTTAGGTTTTTAGTATTTATATTTATCAATCATTGTGCTGATTTCATTTCTTATTGCTGTTATATTTTACAAACTACCTTTTGTCAGTCATTTTTCCGCTCCTTTGTAAAGGACTTTGAACTGCAATTAGATTTGTACCACAGGTGATATATACAGTATATATATATACATATATATATATAGATGCATATGGTTTGATAGATTACACAATGTTGAACTCAGGATTTTCTCTGATGTTTATTTTGAATACATGCAGATTTTATCAGATATGAACCCATCACAACAGGAATACACTTGAAAGGTTCTCATAGATGCATTATGTAAGAACCAATCGTCAAACAATTATAGCTTCACTTAAAGTGTGTCATACATTTAAACACATTCATCATCCATTGAAGAAAGGTAGTTGATGGATACGTTTAAAAGATATTTTTTTAATTCGAATTTCAAGTTTTTAGATGCAAATAAAGGTTTTCACAAGTTCCAGTTTTTAAAGTAAGAATCATAAACTCAAAAGAAGAGCACATTATAAAACATGCCCAAAATAAGACTCATTTTAAAACAGATTAAAATTGTATTGTGATAATAAATGCTGCAGATACAAAGTAATATAAGATAATACCAGTCACCAAAACATCACTCATGATCATCTCTCATTAAACACCACTCAAAGACAAATAATCTAATCTCATGTCCTCAATCTTCAAACGATTAACATCAAAACTAAAACACCACTGAGTATTATAAATCCCTAAATAAAACCACAAGTGAAATATTCACTCCATTACACATGTTGGGAGTGCTTTACATCTTTCCCCGACCAAAAAGAATTCACAACCTACAAAGAAGCATAAATGTGACCAAAAGCTGAATCAATTCAGAAACATGCAGTTTATATATTCAGTTTGAGACAATGATTGTTGGATTTCAATAATGGCTTTCTTTACCTAAATGGTATTCAACAGCCATACAGCTGCTAGCTGTGTAAGTATCCAGTGTCATGTGTGTCTATGTATCAGTTTATATTATTATATATTATGATTTATCTTTGTCCTCAATAAAACATGTTGTATGTTGTTGGAACTTATGCAGATGCAGAAGGGAGTCAACAATTTAAAACAACAATACAACATGTATATGATAAAAGCTAGAAAGAGTCCTGAGTCTGAATAAGAAATAATTCTGTGTTATTCATGTTGTTGAGTCATTTCCATGGTCTTTTAATTACCCTCAGGTCCAAGCAGATGCGGCTTCTTCTCGAACTTCCTGCATGTTAATAAAGACACAAAAGTACATCTGTTTAAAGAAAGCAGTGTAGAGTAAACCTAGTGAGAGATAAACTGAAGAAGAAATGATTCTATTTAACAAACGATCTAACATTCAACTTATTTTAAAGATAAACGATGTACTCATCATGCAGATCCATCATCTCACTGCTGAGAACTTTCAGTTTTTTTAAATCTCAAGTAATAAAATACATTATTTCAAAGTTTTTGTCCGTTGGTAGGAAAATACAAAAGTTTGAAGACACCAATGCTAATTTAGCATCAAAAAAAGATCAAAATCATATATATGCAAAAAAAAAGAATCCTGAAGTTTTGTTTCACTATGCAATCATTCCCTCCCTGCTCATTGTTCCATTCTAATGCTCATATATTAAAACAGCCTTTCAATGTAATAAAACCACTAACTGCATATATTAATATGTCACATACACACCCATTCAAAAAGCCAATTTTTACAGCAGAAATAAACATGTTTACAGCCCGATTCAAAAAACCAAATTGGTCTGATTATCTCATGTCTCAATCAGCACACACTGTATGAAGAGGGATTTTTTTTTTAACATGTCCGTTTTTCTTTTAATGAAGGATACACGTTATTCACAATAAGACCCGTAGCTTATAGGCCTGGGCTAAAAAAATGTTATCAAAATGTCATATCAGTCGATATAATTATCACAATAATTGTCAATCATTTTTACTTTCAAATTTTCAAATCTAAAAGCTGATTTTTGCTCCTGAGTGAAAGTTGAAGAAACCAGAGGGTTGGTTAATCTTTTGGTTTCACTCCCATGCTGCTGTTGCTTACCTCTCTTAACCTGAGGGCCCCAAACCAGAGTCCTGCACGGTTCCAATACAGGTCAGTAAAATTGTTTCAGTACAGAAACCTGACTGACTGTCTAGACTTGCTGTCTAACCTGGATGCAAACCAGGACAAAGGACCAATAACATGTTGGAGTGTTGCTCACTTTGGCAGTATTTTGTTAAGTTAAAGTATCAAATCTATTAGAGTAGAGCTTCACCAGCACAGGTAAGCATACGTTAACCTGAAAGGAAGACCGAAGGCTGAGGATGCTAGCACAGCTAATGTTTTCCACACTCAGCAGATTGTAGATCACATGTTCAACCATATTAAATAAACTGTACTCAGTGTGGACTGTTTTCTATTTACTTCAGCCAAGTCAACTGGTTTTATGTTTAATCAACAGCAAGTTAGTTCATATTGTATCCTTTAACATCTTAATATTCAACTATTATCAAAGGATTGGAAAATCATTGTACCACTGTTCAAAGTGCTTTTTTGCAGCCTTCACACTCTTTCTATCAGTCTTCTTACAGAAGACCCTGATCAGCTGCTCAGAAAAGCACGTTGTGCCAATCCTGGATGCCTGTAAAGAATGACAGCAGCTTTAATTTGAGAGTTATGGTGACATAAGCTGCCTTACAAATAATAAACAGAAGAAATATTGAATGATTGCGATAAAAAAATTGTTTTAATCAATAATTAGTTCTGACATTTTTGCTGTTCTCGTCTTTCATGCCGTAGTCCATGTTAATGACCTAAAAAGAAGGTCGAGAGTAAAATGTGTGCCATAACAAATTCTGCAACATCTTACAAATCAAAGAATCAGCAAAACTGAAGATTTTACAAAAAAGTGAGACGAAAGAAAGTAAAAAAAACTCACCAGGATTTCAAAGTCCTCTGATGTCAGGTTGTTTTCTTCCTCAGGTAGGGTTCGAGCCAATCCTTCTTTCCAGCCAGAAATCCGGCTCTTGACAAGGAATCAGAAAAAAATTACAACAGTGGAAAAGGATATAGATTCAAGTTTTTTTGCATTTTAAGTTGACAATGTAAGCAACTTGGAATTCAATTCACATTCACTCAAAAAACTGCACCAACTTAGTGTAAATGCGTTTGACTGTAGGGCTGCATGGTATGATCTAAGCATTAATTTTGCTATGTGTACAAGTGCCATGGTAATATCCCAGGACGTGTGTTAGTCCATGAGCACATAAAGTGTAGAGGGAGAGAGAGAGAAGGGATCACATGCAGTGTATGAAGATGAACTGTTCTTTGCTTAGAAGTTAATGTCACAGGGCTCTTGATGCAAATTAAATGTAGCTTTGAATGTATAAGGGGTTCTTATTTGTAAAAGAAAATAAAACTTGAA